TTCTCCAGTTGTTTTTGGTCTATCTTTATTGTGACTGGGGTTGGTTGTCTCGAAATTTTCATTACTTTTGTTTTCTCCACATTCATTTCCATGCCATAGCACCTTCCAATTTCAATTAGTCTATCAATCATTCCCTGTAGCACAGTTTCTTCCTTAGCCATTAACACAAGGTCATCTGCATATTTCACAGTTTGAATAATTTGCCCTCCTAATTTGAAGTCTCCGAGCCCATCCAGAGCTTCCTTGGTAAGGCATTCGCTGTACAAGTTGAATAGAATTGGTGATAAACAGCATCCTTGTCGAATTCGTTGTAACATAAGATACTTAAAATAGGCATGATCTGCTTTGCAAAGCCTTAACTGATAGAGGACTTATAATTAGTGCAGAAAGATGAATTTCCAATAACACGCTATATGTGCAGTACGTACACGTGATGAAAGGCCAAGCATATTCATAAGAGACAAACCCACCCTCTCATCAGAAAGGATATTACATAAGGACTATGACAGCAGGGGTTCAGTTGAAAAAATATCTCTTGTCGTGAGTCTCAAAGGGCTTGGGGCCAAGACGAACTGATTTGCGGTAAATCGCCGGTCGTAAAGTAATATTGACTTTGTTCTGGAGGATCCGAGATAGCGTAGTCGGTATAGCGCCTAGCCACGGCCTGGAAGGCAAAAGTGTCGGAATTCGACTCCCGGTAAGGGCTAGATTTTTCTCCTCTCGACACCCAGACAGATCCTGGGGCCCACCCAACTTCCTATCCAGTGGGAACTGAGGGATTTTTCCTGGAGTTAAAACGACCGGGTCGTGAAACCGGCCGAGGTCAAGAATCTGTACGTCCACTCCCCCATACGCCTTCATGACGTAATGCTTAATTTATCTCTTTTTTTTTTTACTTTGTTCTACAACACTCTCTTCCCTATATGTGTTGTAGGCCTGTTACATAAATTATGTGCAACAATTCTTGAAATATTGTTGAGAGTTCTGATCTCTCGCGATTATAATTGCAGAAGAGCTCAAGGGTCTAAGGAATGTTGTATCATGGTCTACTAAAAATGTAGGTTAGGGCCGGCCGCAAGTTTCTCAGACTGATGCTCGCTCTGCCCATTACGGAGATACGCAGCGTGGAGGCTCGCTGTGAGGTGTCTTCATTTTCATAAGTCTTGGTACGTTTTTCTGTTATTTTCGTAAAACAGGGTGCCGTAAATTTAAGGTCATGTATTCCTAATTCTTTCGTAGTTTATCTAAAGGCACTATCAGTAGAATTACTGGGTTTTGGGACTTTCTCCATCGTCCGCAATTCTAGGTAATAGAGGACACGACGTTTCGGAAACTGGATATGTTTCCGTCTTTAGGTGAGAAAGGAAGATACCTACTCAGTTTGGCCCCTTGGATTGAGATTAGCTCTTTCTAATGGGCCCAACTGAGTAGGTGTCTTCCTTTCTCACCTGAAGACGGAAACATATCCAGTTTCCGAAACGTCGTGTCCTTTATTACCTAGATTGCGGACGATGGAGAAAGTCCCAAAACCCCAGTAATTCTATGTCATCCACCATCGTCAGAACCCTTTAGAAACACTGTCAGTAGCTCAGGCTTTATGGCGTTTATTGATTGGATTATAATGAATAATGGATTGGGGAGGATCTGGAAGGAAGCGGTCATGGCTTTATTTACCTGTTGAGACCCGGAAAGTATAGTTATAAAGGGAAGCGCTGAAGAAGGAGCATAAAACGGAAAGTGGAGGAAGAGAGAACTGTGCTGTAGAAAAGGAGGGGAAATGATAAAGATCGGAAGGAGGACAAGCAAGAGAAGGAAAATAAGAAAGATGAAAACGATAAGAATGCGGTAGAACGGAATATGAAGAAGAAAGGGACAAAGAGTAGAAGAAAGGAGAGGAAGTCAAAAGGACGTGAAAGAGAGCAAGGAAGCAGAAGAGGATGGAGAAACAGGGGGGCAGAAAAAGACAGATATACTAGAAAGAGGACAATAAGTGAAGGGAAAGGTGAAGTGGAGGAGAAGAGGACAAAAACGTAAGAAAATCGCCTTGGATCTGAAAGAGTTGAAGTACTACCAAGGAGAATCCCTGGAAGGAATGAAGAGGAACCACAAAAACTGGAATAAAGACCGACAGTCATGGCGAAGCTAATTTCTCCCTGCTCCATCTCCATCTACCCTAAAGAATGAGGCGACAAGTACAAAATTACACGACTTCAAGCCCGTAATAGAGTAATCTTTGTAATCACTGCTGTCAAAATCGTAAATATAACAAAACAGAGTAATTAACGTTATTTTCGAATCTGGCATTTATGGGTAATTATAAAAGGATTATTCATTGCTTCGCTTCTATGCGCGATTTCCGTTAGATTTCAGCTCCCATGACTGTGTCCTACACGGACTTTCAAGTTTCGTTTCGTCATATTTATACTTCTTCATGGAAAATAATACTTCGCGTAACTCCTTTTTTTTTTTTGTTATATTATGTTTAAAATGGGGGGGCACGCGGTAGCGTAGATGGTTGGGGCACTAAGCTACAAACTGGAAGGTCTCGGGTTCGATTCCCGATGATGTCATTGGATTTTTCAATTGACCTAATCCTTCCAGCCGTATTATGGCCTTGGTATCGACACAGCCTCTAACAGAAATGAGTACAACAAAAATTTCGTGAGGGTAAAGCGCGGCCGGCGCGTAAGGCTGACAATCTTACCGCCATCTGTGAGCCGATTATCTAGATAATATGGGAGCCTCGACGTCTCACAACCCTATGGGCCTTATATTTAATGTCAAACGTCTTCCAACACTTAATGAGCCCTTGGGTTCTGTAAAAGACAGTGAATTTCTTGAGTAGCTGATTGACTAATAGCTTTTAATAAGGGGTTTTCCCGAGGAATTTCGCTTAGGCGGTAACATTTTAACTTGTATGCCGGAGGTACCCGGTTTGAATCTCGGCTGGAACATCGAATGTCCCGATTGAGGTATTTCTTGGTTTTCGTCAGTCCTTCTAATAGAATTTCAGACGAGGTTAGTACTCTGTTAGGTCACGACATCCTTTTCAGGTCATCATGTATTCATCCTCTTACCGTTCCTCACTGTACAGTCTCGTTATATAAATCACAAAAAAAAAAATAATTAAATTTCCACGCGATTAACCCGGAAGTGGTTAATGAAACTCAGGCAAAACTAGGCAGTCTAATACACAAGGCAATTCAGAAATAATACATTTTTCTCATATAAACTGGTTCCTATTATACAATGCCTAAACATTTTTTGAGGTTACGGCCTCGGCAGATAGTGACTAGGTCACTACGTCTTCATTAGAAATTCACATTTCAAGGCCGTGCCATAGCTCAGGCGGTTAATCGCCGGCCGGGCCCAGGTCAGGTCATACGGGATTTGTGGTGAACAAAGTGGCACTGAGGCAGGTTTTCTCAAAGTACTTCGGTTTCCCCTGCGAATTCGCGTTCCATGCTCGACACTCATCATCTATCATACGGGGATGGTACAGTAGGCCAGTTAAGGTTCGGCAACACAGAGCCTACGTACGCGACGCACGCTACGTACTCTATGTTCGCTATACGAACAGAAAAATATTTCCCTTTATTGCCAATGTGACTGGCCACACAGACTTCAGTACGCTACGTACGCTATGTTCCCTATGTTAGCTGCGTCGCAGGGTGTACACAGCGTACGTAGCGAACATAGCGTAGCGCTCTGTGTGGCCGAACCTTTAGTGGCAGACTTACAAAGTGGACCAAACACGCACAAAAAAAAAAACCCTACCACTTTCTATTTTCAACACAGGATGGACAGCAGAATTACCATACTGGAGCTCAAGTTGGGGACAACTTTTGTTACGTAAGGTTGCCTGACTCAGAGATGTTTCAGGCACGTTTTCGTTTGATTCACCTGTTTTTCCCGGACGCGCTGTGATCAGGTGCGTATCTAGTTTCGTGGAGCGGAGTCTTCGTTTCCGATGTGACGTCACCAGGCTGCTGTTTGATGTCTGTGAGAAGGGCCGCCACTGCTCCTTGACTGCGATGGATGCTGGCCAGTATCGCATCTCTGGTGGAAATGTAAATAAGCAACATAATAAACTGAGTTCCCTGCTCAGTCATTAGTCAGTTCATTTGCCTGCATTCTTGAGTACTGGAATGAGGTTTTAAACAGAAGGAATCATGCACCCTTGTTCCTTTATTTCTTTATTACTTGCCGAATTTACAGAAATTGCTCTAAATGAAGTCCTCCATGTTCAGTGTACAACTCAGCAACCCTCTGATACAATTCTGCAGATCCAGTGGCAGGTTTAAATCTCAACATTCACGTTAACACAATGTTGATTGACTTCTGGGCCACTCTGTATATGTACCACCAATTTTAATATTAATAAACCTCATTTTACCCACAAAGACGTTCTTCGGTTTACTAATACAGTCTCTGGTCTTTAGGAATTTATAAGTATGTTAATTTTGGACATTTTCATCATCATCAATGGATAAATAAACAGTCGTGCAGGAATATATTAAAAGAAAAACTTAATTGGGATGTTTCATTCCGCTTATTTAATTGCGTGTTCGGGCCTCCTTTCTAACGAACCCCCGAGCTAGCGGGCCAGTTAGTCGTTGCCTTTCTCCGGCCACGCTACAGATAGCTTACTTTGGATAGTCCGCCACCTCCAGGCACAGTGTGTTCGTGAAGTAGTCGCAGGTGTCTTTATTGGGGGAGCTACTGGGTTCGCCCGCTGCGCTGTGTTTCCTCTCCGGCACGGGCTGCCTCAGGGGCGACGAAGTGTGTTTTCCGGGCGGAGGGCGACGGGGCTTGACCCCAGGTAGTGGTCTCGAGGGCGGTGGAGGGGGAGGAACCATTTCTGAAAGAGAATATTTCGTCATATTTTAGGAAACTGTTACCATCAGTCACAGTGGCGTCTCGGTGTGAGACACGTATGTCTGTAGCCGCTCGAACGCTGGTGTCTTCGGTGTATTATCGTGTGCTGGGCCTGTATCCCCCCCCAAACGGTCCTACAAATTGTCTGTATGCTTTATAATTTATGAAGTTAGTTCTGGATTGCTCCGATCACAGTGGCCGCACGGTCTAAGTCATGAAATACCTTCGCCCGCTCGAAAATTTTGATCGTGGGTTCGAATACCACTCAAGCCATGGATATCTCTCCGCGTATTTTTTCTGTGTTTTTGTTGTACTGTGTAGGTAGCGGCATTGCGACAAGGCTGATCACCCATCCAACGAGTCCTACCAGCTGTCTGTAAAATTCATAATTTCGGAAATAATTATGGTAGGGGTCGATTCAGCTCCTAACAGAAATGAGCGCGAGGAATCATCCTGGAGTTAAAGGGCGGCCGGAGGTAGCCAGAAGGCCTAATACGAAAAGGTGGAAGAGTTCTGGATTGTAACAAGCCAAATGACCTAGTGCATAAAGGCCAAAGGGAAATAACAGGGTCCTTGAGTGTAAAAAGTCACCTGTGTGACTCGAATTCGATTTGACGTCACATAATTCTAGATACTAATTTTCTTGTTTTGGGAATATCTAAGGATAACGTTGAGAAATGTAATTAGAAACCTCGTCTTATTCTTGGCATTTTACGTGTCATGAAGATAGCTTAGATATGATTCGACGAGACGATGTAGCTTCTTCTGATTTCAGTGTGAGTGGCCTCCCGAGTTCAAATATTGGCCCCGACACCGGCTACACTCGTTGATATTTTTCGTTGTTTTCTCTTTGTCCCTCCGGGCAAATACTGGAATAGTATCTGAAATTAGTCCTTCTCCTTTCCAATTCATTACCCACTAATCGTCTCGTCATTCGGCACTCTGAATTCTGAGCAACTGCAATCTCCTCTTCACTCTGCCTCTACTGCCCATGAAATATAACTTATAGTTTGCCTTCAGTTGCTATATTCCTTCGGAGCCGGAATAGCTCAGTCGGTATGGCGACTGGCTACAAACTGAACAACAGGATTGGTCGGAGTTGTTACTCTCAGTAGGGTCAAGAACCTTTTCTTCTCCGCAGCTTCCAGACCGCTTCTGGGGCCCATACAGCTTTCTATCCAGTGGGTACTGTGGGCTATTTCCCTGGGGTAAAGCAACTGTGGCGTGAAGCTCACCTCCAACTAGAGCCGAGGTCAAGAAAACGTTGCTCTATACATCTACTCCTTCATACACCCTCATGGCTTTTTTTCCCCCTTGCCACTACAGCCCCAGTGGGCCTAGGCCTACCTCCATGAACTTCTCCTTTCACTTCGGTTTTTCCAGATCTTACACGTTCGGTAGGACTCCTTGGGCGGGTGATCAGCTCGTAGCAAGGCTCTACCTGTACACCAACACAGAAAAACGCACACACACAAACTAAACATCCATGTCCTGAGTGGGATTCGAACCCACGATCCCGGTTTCAAAGCGAGCGAAGACAGTACATGCCTTAGACCGGTCGGCTACCTGCCTTCATGGCTTAGCACATAAGTATTTGAGCAGAAGGACAGCTTTACCTATTATATTCCAAGGGCGAATTGACATCAAGGAAACTGGCAACCGCAACGCAACCGTAATTTCCGAGTTGAACACATGTTACTGAGTGGAGCAGCGCATATTGAGAACACTGCATTTCCGTTTCCTCAATATGGGCTGCTCCATTCAGTAACACGTGCTCAACTCAGGCTGACAACAATTCTCGGAAATTGAAGTTGCGTTGCGGTTGCCAGTTTTCTCGGTGTGCCTCGCCCTAAGAGTCCCACAGAAATATATATCCTTACACCTTATGAGCTGTCCCACAGCTGCACACAGTTCAGTGTAGATGAAGACAGATTCCTTCGCATAGAGTGAGCGCGTAAAATGATTATACGTTAGTTAAGAATATATAATATTTTAAAGTACAGGAACTGCAGGGGTGTAGTCCTGAATATGAAGCTTTCAGGGCTTTCAGGCACTCAGTTACAGGCTGAAATAAAGAGGCATAAATCATGTTATGACGCCGTTGTCGGTACGTATCGACTTCTAGATATAAATGCCGGAAGTGAATGACAAGCAGCACGGATTTCAAGAGGTTGGAAATTAAACAAACTATAAGAACTTCATGTTTCGCTTCAGCGTCTTTGAGAGAAGCGTCAGGGCGGTGCCCCGACCGTTAAAAAGACAGGAAGACGCCGCCCTGGACCGTCCTCTCTCGGCTGCAACTGTGAAATCCAAGTTCGAACACAGGTCCTGTCTTGTAATAACATGAAGACCTTACCAGTCGGAATATTAGCGTTGCGACGGTTGTGACTTGAAGGCTGTGTCCTGAACGGCACTGTGGGCCTTGTTCTGTGGGCTGGGGATTGATGCCCGTGTGGTTGAGTGACTATGATTCTTCTGTGGGGCGCTACCACTCTCAGATGCCGTAGTTCCATTGCCTGAAACACAAAAGTAACACTACTGCAAATGGCGGAACATGTACGCTCAATGAATTTGATGTTTCTAGAATAATCGCATCATTGTGCGAAACCAAATTAGTCTCAGCTTCAGGTATGCGAGTCCAAACTGCATTCCCACTGACTGAAGGTCAACCGGTAACGGTGATAGGGTCATGAACTCACGACCTCTACAAAGAGTCACATACATACCTGGGGTTTCTGTTCGCAGGTAAGAGTCATTCACACATGCAGCAGTTTCTGCTATGCGAATTTAAAATTAGTTGTAGTGATCTCAAGGTAAGTAATTTAGTTATGACAGTCGCTCCGTCAAGTGTACGATAGTCATGATCAGGTAGCACATTATCATATCCCCGGTCTAAAAGTGCGGGGCTTCATCTCTGATCTGACACGTGGCTAGTTCCTGAGTGAGGAAGTTTAAATAACAAACATATTGTCACGTGTAAGAGTTGAGATTTTGACGGCGGTGACTATGAAGAATGCCATCTTGTGGGATGTGGCGCCGTGTAGATCCTGTGTGAACAGACGTTTCGGAGGAACGTATCGCCTCCATTATCAGGGTAGAAAAATCCGAGAGCGAGAAACCAGCTGAAAGAGCTACCACAAAAGATCTACACTGCGCCACATCCCAGAAGATGGCGTCCTTCAAGTTATCTTTATATACAAGTCTCTTTCTGACCCTGCTTTTTCGTGTCTCGGGTTGCAGTCACGTGCTCACGCAGGTGTGTCTTTACTAAAGGAAAATAATCTGTAGAAATTAAAAAAAAAATTCCCTGAGGATTTCCCTGCTGTGATTGAGGTCTCTATGAAGGTGTAAACACTCAGTTCCTTTAAACGTTTCCATGACGTAAATTTTTAATTCTGTATGCACCTACGAAAATGATAATCTCTTCACCAAACGTTTCAGTACTCAGAAAACGGCGAATATGGGAGGACTGTACCGGTAGTTGGAAATCTGAACCACTTCAACTTTTACGGAAGTGCCTTTAAAAAAAGTTCGCTTTGCTTTCCTACGACGAATCCTTAACTTTAATGAAAGAACGTATAAGTACGGTATAGTGTGTTGTAGCTGCCGAGTCAAGTGGTGTAACACGCTTTGAGAATTCAGCGAGAAACCTCTTCATTCGTTACGTCAGAATTTGCTTCGCTGACTCCAAAGGCTCTCTTCCCTATTTCACTCAAGTCCCACATGTCAACGAGTGATACGTCGAGTTCCACGTTAAACCCCACCTTCCACGAATAACACGCACAAATAGTCTATACTACACTGCACTTAACATATCCACATTCAGATATTATAATACTCACTTAATAGCCACTATACACTGAAACAAATGTCTACTCGCTTGTTCATGACATAAGAAACTTATTTTCATACAGTTTATTAACGCCTGGCAATTCATTGGCTAAGGTAATACGAAATTAAGTAATTTCATGCCGGTCATGGTAGCCCGCAAGAGAACTAAACCGACCGAGCGACCGCCGCTTGTCGGCGAAGTTAGTGCCAACTTTAGCGGATAGAGGGTGTCACGTGGTCAGCGCAACGAATTCTCACGGCCGTTAATTTCGGTTTTGTAGACCGGAGCCTCTGTTTCCTTGAAACAGCTCCTCTATTATCCTCACGAAGCTGAGTGGACCCCGTTCCAGACCCACTACTTTTCAGAAAATCTGGTAGCGCCGGGAATGGAACCCGGACCTCAGGATCTGTAGCCAGGAACTCTGACCACTAGACCACAGAGGCGGTCGATTTCAGTGACAATATTACGAATTTTAATAATTCTCTTACATTGACGGCGTTTCTATTTTAATTCCATTCCTTATGACAGCCGTGAAACTCGAACCTGTGACCCTGTGAATCCAATATGCTAGGCACTGAGCCACCGAGATGGTTATTTTATTTATGCTTCCTTCGTCAGTGGTCGGATTTGAAACTCTCATCCTCAGATTAACGTGTGTTTTGATTGTTCCCGGTATTGATCAGTTTTTGGCCTTCTAAGTTATGACACTGTGTAGTCTTGTATACAGATACCGACGTTTCGTAGGAACATGCTGCCTCCATCTTCAATATTGAAATGTGCATGTTGAAAAATTTACTTGATTCTCTATGCTGTATAACCAAGCCAGAGCCCCAAGCTGCACACTTCAACCGTGAATATGGTGGTACATGTTCCTTCGAAATATCAGTATCTACTTACAAGGCTACACGGTGTCATAATCTGAATCCTCTGTAGATTCTAAAGAGTTCTTTCGAAGATATGTAACACTCAGATTTAATCGGTTTTTGGACTTCATTTGTCCGGTGTTCTAAAGAACACGACGTTTCGCAAACCGTATCTATCCCCGTGCACAAGTGACGAAGTTGGAGACGACTTTTTTGTTGGCCCAGTGATTGAGGTTAGCTCTTTCTAACCGACTCGCCAGAGTAGTGGTCTCCCACCTGTTCATCTTGAGGACGGAAACACATCCGGTTTCCGAAACGTTGCGTTCTTTAGAATACCAGACGATGGATAGAGTCTAAAATATCCGGTAATCCCAACTGAACTCTTTGGGTGGCCGTCTTTACCAGCAGCTTGCTTGATTAGTAATTAAAGGGTTTCGGGTTCTTTCGTGATTTAGAATATTTGGAATCTCTGCGTAGAGTCTATACACGCTCATCTCTCGTACATCACTCAGATATATTTCCTCTGAGCAAACTGTTTCGGATGTCTGCATGAACGATCACTGCCAGGAAACAAAACGTTCGGTGAGCAGCCCGTGGATTGGGAGCAGCTGTTTTGTTCCTCTGCAAAGCGAACAGCGAGTCTAATGTCTGTAAACTATGAGCATTCCATTCAGACAAATGCGTGAACGAGTCTTTCACTTTCCGGGTGTCTGCATCGCATTAGAATCAGAGAATAGATACAGTCAGTGGATGTAAGAAAGTGAATTTATTGTAGCAGAACTTCCCAGTCACACTAAGCAGTGTCTCCTTCATAAGGAGCATGCATTATTCTGAAGAGGACTGTCTTTTGGATATAACGCCGTGTAGTAACGTTTCGGAGCACCATGCCTCCTCCATCTTCAAGGCTCGAAGAAGAAACGAAGTGGAGCTCTGGTTTTACGCTGGTATTTTTTTCTTATTCTTCGACCCTGAAGGTGGAGGCCGCATGTTTTCCCGAAACATCGGTCGACTTTCAGCGGACACACGGCGCTATATCCCAAAAGATAGGACTGTTCATAACCACCGCTGTGAGAGCCCCAGACCCTACACAGCGCTATATCCCAGAAGACAGAACTCTTCATAACCACCGCTGTGAGAACCTGAGCTCCTACACAGCGCTATATCCCAGGAGACAGAACTCTTCATAACCACCGCTGTGAGAACCTGAGCTCCTACACAGCGCTATATCCCAGGAGACAGAACTCTTCATAACCACCGCTGTGAGAACCTGAGCTCCTACACAGCGCTATATCCCAGGAGACAGAACTCTTCATAACCACCGCTGTGAGAACCTGAGCTCCTACACAGCGCTATATCCCAGGAGACAGAACTCTTCATAACCACCGCTGTGAGAACCTGAGCTCCTACACAGCGCTATATCCCAGGAGACAGAACTCTTCATAACCACCGCTGTGAGAACCTGAGCTCCTACACAGCGCTATATCCCAGGAGACAGAACTCTTCATAACCACCGCTGTGAGAACCTGAGCTCCTACACAGCGCTATATCCCAGGAGACAGAACTCTTCATAACCACCGCTGTGAGAACCTGAGCTCCTACACAGCGCTATATCCCAGGAGACAGAACTCTTCATAACCACCGCTGTGAGAACCTGAGCTCCTACACAGCGCTATATCCCAGGAGACAGAACTCTTCATAACCACCGCTGTGAGAACCTGAGCTCCTACACAGCGCTATATCCCAGGAGACAGAACTCTTCATAACCACCGCTGTGAGAACCTGAGCTCCTACACAGCGCTATATCCCAGGAGACAGAACTCTTCATAACCACCGCTGTGAGAACCTGAGCTCCTACACAGCGCTATATCCCAGGAGACAGAACTCTTCATAACCACCGCTGTGAGAACCTGAGCTCCTACACAGCGCTATATCCCAGGAGACAGAACTCTTCATAACCACCGCTGTGAGAACCTGAGCTCCTACACAGCGCTATATCCCAGGAGACAGAACTCTTCATAACCACCGCTGTGAGAACCTGAGCTCCTACACAGCGCTATATCCCAGGAGACAGAACTCTTCATAACCACCGCTGTGAGAACCTGAGCTCCTACACAGCGCTATATCCCAGGAGACAGAACTCTTCATAACCACCGCTGTGAGAACCTGAGCTCCTACACAGCGCTATATCCCAGGAGACAGAACTCTTCATAACCACCGCTGTGAGAACCTGAGCTCCTACACAGCGCTATATCCCAGGAGACAGAACTCTTCATAACCACCGCTGTGAGAACCTGAGCTCCTACACAGCGCTATATCCCAGGAGACAGAACTCTTCATAACCACCGCTGTGAGAACCTGAGCTCCTACACAGCGCTATATCCCAGGAGACAGAACTCTTCATAACCACCGCTGTGAGAACCTGAGCTCCTACACAGCGCTATATCCCAGGAGACAGAACTCTTCATAACCACCGCTGTGAGAACCTGAGCTCCTACACAGCGCTATATCCCAGGAGACAGAACTCTTCATAACCACCGCTGTGAGAACCTGAGCTCCTACACAGCGCTATATCCCAGGAGACAGAACTCTTCATAACCACCGCTGTGAGAACCTGAGCTCCTACACAGCGCTATATCCCAGGAGACAGAACTCTTCATAACCACCGCTGTGAGAACCTGAGCTCCTACACAGCGCTATATCCCAGGAGACAGAACTCTTCATAACCACCGCTGTGAGAACCTGAGCTCCTACACAGCGCTATATCCCAGGAGACAGAACTCTTCATAACCACCGCTGTGAGAACCTGAGCTCCTACACAGCGCTATATCCCAGGAGACAGAACTCTTCATAACCACCGCTGTGAGAACCTGAGCTCCTACACAGCGCTATATCCCAGGAGACAGAACTCTTCATAACCACCGCTGTGAGAACCTCAGGTCCTACACGGCGCTATATCCCAGGAGACAGAACTCTTCATAACAACGTCTGTGAGAACTTCAGCTAATACAAAGCGCCATATCCCAGAAGAGAGAACTCTTCATAACCACCGCTGTGAGAACCTCAGCTAATACACGGCGCTATATCCCAGAAGAGAGAACTCTTCATAACCATCGCTGTGAGAGCCTCAGACCCTACACGGCGCTATATCCCAGAAGAGAGAACTCTTCATAACCATCGCTGTGAGAGCCTCAGACCCTACACGGCGCTATATCCCAGAAGAGAGAACTCTTCATAACCATCGCTGTGAGAGCCTCAGACCCTACACGGCGCTATATCCCAGAAGAGAGAACTCTTCATAAACACCGCTGTGAGAACCTGAGGTCCTACACGGCGATATATCCCAGGAGACAGAACTCTTCATAACAACCGCTGTGAGAACTTCAGCTAATACACGGCGCTATATCCCAGAAGAGAGAACTCTTCATAACCACCGCTGTGAGAACCTCAGATCCTACACAGCGCTATATCCCAGAAGACAGAACTCTTCATAACCACCGCTGTGAGAACCTCAGATCCTACACAGCGCTATATCCCAGGAGACAGAACTCTTCATGACCACCGCTGTGAGAACCTCAGATCCTACACAGCGCTATATCCCAGGACACAGAACTCTTCATAACCACCGCTGTGAGAACCTCAGATCCTACACAGTGCTATATCCCAGGAGACAGATCTCTTCATGACCACCGCTGTGAGAACCTCAGAGCCTACACAGTGCTATATCCCAGAAGACAGAAATCTTCATAACCACCGCTGTGAGAACCTCAAGTCCTACATGTATTAGCCTGCTCATACATCACCAAAGTGTTGTGTATTGCAGGTTCTGTACACCCGAAGTTTGTAACTGAGGAAGAACACATGCAATCAAAAATAAATATTAACCCTTCTAAGCATGATGTCCGTCTCAGTGTACAGTGGTTTCTTCCTATCCAAAAAGGCTGAGTCTACGTTACAAACAGAAACCGGTCAATGCTGCTTAAGGAAATAATCGCTGTTTGTTTTGAGAATCGTTCTTTGGGTAAGATTCATTGTTTTCCACTTTGTTTAAAGTAGAAAAAAACATGTAATGAATACTTCACTTTGAAAGTTTAAATTGACATAAATTCGCATAAGATGAATTTGATTACGTTTGAAAGGCGTTAAATATATATAGCTAACTCTGTGGAGATAAGGCCCTCTTGAGAACCCGTCAGTTGTGCAGCTACTCAAGAATTTCCCAATATTTTATGTAACTTTTTTGTTATTGCTAGTGGGGTGGATCTAAGTCCCTTGTACTGCGGCCACTTCTGGCCTATTGTACCAGCCCCAGATGATAGGTGAGGGTGTTGTGGAACAGTTGGTGGAATGAAGATTTGCAGGGGAAACCGAAGTACTCGGAGAAAACCTGCCCCAGCGCCACTTTGTTCACCACAAATCCTACTTGACTAGATCCGGCATCGAACCCAGGCCCCCGTGGCGGGAAGCCAGCGACTAACCGTTTGAGCTATGGCGCGGCCCTTATGTAACCTGAAGTGTCATTACTGTTTTCACTGGTCCCTATCCCGAACCAGTCAATCCAGTCCATACCACTTCATCCTATATATCTAAGTAAAGCTATCCCTGTGATAGGCCGTGAAAGCCCATAGGGCTGTGAGACGTTGAGGGTCCCACAGTATCTAGACAATCGGCTCAAAGATGGCAGTAAGATTGTCAGCCTTACGTGCCGGCCGCGCTTTACTCCCCAGGAAAATTATTTAATTAATTCCTGGTACTCATTTCTGTTAGAGGCTGAGTCGACCCCAGGGCCATAGTGCGGCTGGAAGGATTGGGTCAATTGAAAAATATCCAATGACTTCATCGGGATTTGAACCCGCGACCTTCCTGCTTGTAGCACAGTGCCTCAACCAACAATACTACCGCGCGCTGTTACAGTTACAGTTCAGCAGCAATCTGTGAGGAATAGTGGGCCCCGACAGCGGTGTTGCGAAGTTTCCTCCTTAACTGAACGTCCTGTATTACAACTACAGGCGCTAAGGAACGTGGAATCGCCACTGGGCAGCTGCTTTTAAATCGCGACCAGTGCAACTAACCTCCGGAGTTTTGGCAGCGACACCTCGGAAGATATTCGCGATGTCCAGAGACAGGGGCAACAGTAACGCCGACGTCATGTTCTTGCGCTGCTCCTCATCTTCTTCTGGACCGCCAGCGAACATAGCGATCACCTGATCTAGAGTAGGTGCTTCTGAAGTCGGTGAAGACATCACCTGAGCCGTTAGCAGGGCGGCTAGTGTGAGGCGCTGAGGCGGAGACATGCTACGAATTATGGGCAAAACTTGACCCAGCTGTTGAGACATCTCAGGCCGTTTCAGTGCTTCCAACATTGCCTTGTATATTATGGATTCTTTCTTAATAGCACTCGGAGAAAACTTATAGTCCTCTCCTGAACTTTCGTTGATATCCTCGTCTATGTACTCAGCGCCTGGGAGGCCGGGATCTGCTGACGTGTGATGTTGATGTGCGCCATCTAGTGCGAACTTTTCGTCCAGGGCTAAGTCGTCCAGACTGGACTCGGCGTTTAAGGCTGTGATGGATGTAAGAAGGAAAACCTAGAAACAAATAGACACAATTAATTGTATTGTGGTGTATAGACCCTTAGCTAAGCGGTGATTCTGAAACAGCGGCCGTTGCTAGGTAGCACTTGCAACTATAGAACAACGATATTTTGCAACCCGTTTCTAAGCAAAGAATCGGTAAGCGAGTCTACAACAATAGGATTATTGATAGAAACGGTGTTCTCTATTCGGTCTGTGCGAAGTAATTATAAAGAAGACAGTTGGGGCAACCAGTTTAGTTGGGAGTTGAACGTCCGGCTGTGAAGAAAAGAGTTAGTTGTAAGAGTGAGTCTGTGAAAATAGGACTTTTATATGTGCTGTCGTTACAGTGAGACTGTTATAAAAGCGGCTGCCGGCGTGTTCCTCAGAAATGCCGACTAACTGACAGAGTCAGGGTTACTTCACGACTGACGGTTTACCGCCAATCAGTTAGTCTTGGCGACAAGTACCTTGAGACTCACGACAAGTAATTTTATTTTCCAACTGAACACTTGCGGTTATTGTCCTTGAGAGGTTGGGTCAATCGTTTACAATTGATGCTGGTCCTCGCCAACGAAGTCATTCTAAGGTCCGACTCCCGCGGGACTGGTGACCACATTTCACTGTGTCACATTCGAGACTCCCCAAACCTTGAAGGCCAGGTACCCGTATTAATATCCCCCAGGAACAGGATGGCCTGGTTATACCTCCAGGCACTGGGTTCCCTTTTCATCGCCTCCTACGACTCACAGGGCTACGGTGGGGGTATTCGACGCGTCGTCCACATGGACTCTCCTGGGTTTACTTTCAGAAGACTACATGGCGTTATATTCCAGAAGATAGAACTGTTCGTAGAATTCTTTTCATTTGCTATGAGACTATAAGATTCTCAAGACGTACTGTACTTCGTGGAGTTAACTGTTTAGGGCCGGGGAATTATTTATTTCATGGAAAGAATTTATCGCCGTCTCGTGGCGATATAAAAGGAGTTATCACGACTCATTTTCTTTTCAGGACTCTCTTAGCCTTAAATTCTGTAGTTCCCTCTTGTTAAATGGTACTCTTCGTTTTCCTATTCGCATTTTTGGGAACTTCTCAAAGTTTAGTGTTTGTCCCTGTAATAAACTCTATCCTTCTACACGGTACATATACCCTGCCAAAGCGGTGGGTAAATATCTCGACATATTTGCAATCGGAGCGGTTTCTCTGAATCGTATTTTATAATCTCCTACCTAAAGTTCTTAATAATATTTAAGGCACTGTATTATGTTGTTCTTAATTACTACTTTCTTTGTGTATTTCACTTCATTTTTGTTTTGGTTATTTCAGTTCTTTTATATTAATGTGTTTCGTTTTTTCGGTGCTTACCTGTAATTTGCCTCTTAACTGTTGTCAAGCACTTCGATACATGGACTTAACTATTATTTTCACATTTATTTTCCACTGGGTTTCCAGCCCCCTTGCGCCCTGGCCTCTGATTTTTCAGTTTCATGATCATTTTAGGGCGGCCGCACACCAACTGCGTCAAGACAAGCGTCAAGACATGGGACAAAAGGACGCAGTCTTGCTTCATTCGTGATTCATCAACATGAAACTGACGTCAGCATCATGATTCAGACCGGTGTGCGGCGGTTTTCATAATCTCATTCGTTTAAACTGTGCTCCTTTCTTTGCATCATGCCGCAGACATCGTGTCTTGACTGTTACATGTCTTGACGCATGCCGGTGTGCGGCCTACCTTGCAGACGGTAAGACTCCTTAGACGGGTGATGAGCTCGTCGCAAGGCCTCTACCTCAACACAGGACAAAACAAACAAAGAATAAAGACATATACACCAAACATCCATGTCCTGAGTGGGATTCGAACCCACGATCCCGGCTTCCGAGCGAGCGAAGACAATTGATGCCTTAGACCGCTGGGCTACCGTAACCGGCACTCTCACATTACGCATTATGCTATAAATTGTATCTTTTGAAATGCACGTATTTTGCTTTATCACGTCTAAACTATCGCCTGTTGTTATTATTTCGATGTCTGTTATTATTACTATTTTTTTTTGTTATCATCGTTACTAAGATGATATAAATTGCCTTGTTTTGTACCTTGTGTCTTTCTTTCACTCGTGCTCGCTTTGTAATTGACGATTGGGCTGTTGTGCTAGCACTTAAATAATCAAGAATTGAATTGAATTGAATTAAATTATTATTATTATAACGACGGTTTATATGAAGTTGGATCATAAAATAAACGAGGATATTTTGACGGAACTCAAGACAAAGCCAGTAATGAACTACATTAAACTTTATCAAGACAATTGGAGAAGCCGTGTGAATGCTGGAAGATTCCTGAAGGCAGTTTTGAGACATCGACCCAAGGGGGAAGATAAGTAGGACGCCCGATGAACGGATGCAGGCAAGACGAATGACCGTAACCGCTCATAAGGCGTAACACTTATCAGTATTAAGATTGTTGTTGTTGTTGTTGTTGTTGTTGTTGTTGTTGTTGTTGTTGTTGCTACGTCTGCTCCTCATGTAAACATTATTCATGTGCTATATGTGCCATAGCCGCTAATGTTGTTTGCAGGGAAGTTGACGCATTTTGAGCCAAAGCGTTCTCCGTGATCATAATGTTGTATCGTAGTGCCCTCTTGCACGTCACTTATTTATTTCTTGTTAGTTATTAGCCACCTCACATGCAAATTCCTGTTTAAAAACTTTAAAAGTTTTAGACGTTAAAATGACTTTACATAACTGGTATATGCACACCTAATCATATTTTACAAGGGTCTTCGCATCATGTTAAAACACTAATTGGACGCAACATGTATGTATGTATGTATGAATATTATTATCCTTTCTTACCTGTTAATAGTAAATTTGATTTTTATAGAATTATTACTATTATTATTACATAAAATGAATTATTTCATATTTTGTTATTAAGTTCTTTGTTGTTTCTACTTAGTCGTGCTAACTTTCTAATTGGCCTCTGGGCTGTTAAATTTGCACGTAAATAAACAATTGTATTATTATTATTCGTGTAAATATCGGGGGACACGCGGTAGCGTAGTTGATTGAGGCACTATGCTACAAGCCGGAAGTTCGCTGGTTCCATTCCCGAAGACGTGATTGGATTTTTCAGTTTTACCTAACCCTTCCAGCCGCACTGTGGCCCTGGGGTCGACTCAGCCTCTAACAGAAATGAGTACCAGGAATCTTCCTGGGAGGTAAAGGGCAGCCTGCGCGTAAGGCTGACCTCACCGCCATCTGTGAGCCGATTGTCTAGAAAATGTGTGAGCCTCGACGTCTCACAACCCTATGGGCCTCCACAGCCTATTACAGGGATAGCTTTACATTTTACCTTCGTGTAAATGTCACGAGACCTGTTGTCACCCGATATTCAGGCTAGCGCTGTGAGCAGTTCTCCCCAGTCCAGCCTACCGTCACCCATCGCTCATCTACCGAAGACGGAAGAGAACATTCTCGCAGCGGAATGCACTGTGCGGTTACGATGCATTTGTCGGCTAAACGTATTGTTTTCGCTTACATCATGTCTTTCCATTAATTCCGGTATTCCTGTGGTTTCAGGTTCCATTCTGTTTTGTACGTCTGCTGATGTCTGAACCCCGTCTGCTCTGCAGCGAACGCCCAGATTTTGCTGCTAAGTGTGACATCTGGTTTATATGAAGAACATGGTACTTACTTCTAGCAGATATTCACAATAACTACTGGTAGGTCAGCGTCGGACATGACACAAAGTGCATTGCTCACCTTGCTCCCAAGACGAACAAAGAATGGCATCCTTTACATTGCTTCTGAAATCATGAAACAGTTACGTGGCAGCCATAAAATTCGTTGGAATCTGCGCTAAGGAAGAACTGATTCCCATAACCGTAAAGCACAGCTATTACTGTATGTGCCACCTGCTTTCTCCTTTAGAAACTCTACATTTCTGCCCATTTAATATATTTAGAAATATATGATTATCATGGTGTAAGGTAATTATCTCTCAAGCAACATTAACCACCTGGTCTGGCCGCGCCGTAGCTCAAGCGTTTAGTCGTTGGCTTCTCACCGGGACTGCGTCTGGTCAGGTGGGATTTGTGGTGGCAGGTTTTCTCCGAGTACTTCGGTTTCCCCTGTCAATCTTCATTCCACTAAATTCTCCATCATTATAATCACCCGGGGCGGGTACAATAGGCCAATCAGTGGCCGCCGTGCCGACTGGACCCAGCTTGGCCCCACTTTGCCTTCGTAATACCTAGAAATGTCTTAAACTACGTCTGCAATATTTCTGATGGTACGTCATACCTTGATGGAGCAACATTATGGTACCGATGTCCTGTGTGTCCCGTTATGGCGATTTTATTTCCAATCTTATTTCGAAAAGGAATAAAGATAGCTCGTCATTATAGCTACGTGCTACGGTCTGGTCGGCCATGGTTCGATTCCTGACAGTGACAAGATTTTTCTCTTCTCCACTGTGCCCAGACTGGCTTTGGGACCTAACCAGCCTCCTATCCAGTGGGTACAGGGGGCTCTTTCCCCGGCGGTAAAGCAGCCGGGGCGTGAAGCTGACCACTCACCTCCATCCAGTGCCGATGCCAAGAATGATAGAGCTATACCTCCACTTCCCCATATGTCTTAATGGCACAGTGCTTAATTAATTAAGCACAGGAACAGTGTTCCCGTCTAGGAAAGCGAGATTAACGGCCGTAGGGATCCGTTGCGCTGACGACGTGACACCCCCTATCCGCAAAAGTTGGCACTAACTTAGCTGACAAGCGGCGGTCGCTCAGTCGGTATAGTTGGCTTGCGGACTGCAGGCCATGGAGTTTTTTTAAACAGTGCTGTATTGATTTTTTGTATATCGGAAATGGAATTAATATTTTTGTTATCATGACGTAGTGATCGATGTCACTATTTTGTGATGATGTATCGTTTAAACAAAGAAGAGTGCCGTGGCACTTAATGCGAAGGATGCGTTACTCAAAACATGGCAGAACTCAAATTTTCTTATAGGCAGAAACACTTACGTGATTGTTGCCAATTTTTGGGGGATTCGTATTATTTCAAACTTTGCGCCTAAAGTGAGACATGTTTGTGTGACTGTAGATAGGGTTTCGATTGAGGACTCGATCCACCGACTACCCCCCCCCACACACACACACACACGAACACGACTGGGAACCACAAGCACTCGCAACGCTATAGCCGATCTCCACGTTTCATAAATCACTACACGCTAAGTCTGTCTCGCAGTCATTGCATAGCAACGGCTGTACACGCTACAGTAATTTTTATATCGCACTATTTCAGATTCGCATAAAATGCGACCGCACTGTATATGCATTAAAATGGTTTTCATTTACTTGGGAAATATTGAGTTCCAAATGTGAATACTGATCTTGAAAAGCAGAGGAAGTCTTCTGATAACAGAAGAGAAACGCTTTGCCTTACAGCGATCTTAAGAGACAATTTTAATCCTTATGATCATGACGCAGTCTTAGACTTAAGTGACCCCTGACGTTTTAGGAGTACATTTGTACTTTTTAGATTTTTACAGAAGTTCTCTCTCTCTCTCTCTTTCTTGCTGCTCCTACTTTGGAGCATAGAGCATCCGTGAAACGATTTGTTTAATTTCAATTGCTAAAGCTTAGACATTCGGTACGACTCCTTGGACGGGGGATCGGCACTTCACAAGGCCGCTACCTACACATGACAACACAGATACAAAATAAACGCACATAGGCATCCGATAAGACTCCTTAGACGGGAGATCAGCACTTCGCAAGGCCACTGCCTACACATGACAACACAGATCCAGAATAAACGCACACGGACATCCATGCCTTGAGTTCGATTCGAACCCACGATCCCAATGTTCGAGCGAGCGAAGAGAGTTCATGCCTTGGACCACGCGGCCACTGTGATCAGCTTTTACGGTGGTTAGCTGTTGATAATTCAATTCTTGAATGTTTACACAGAGCAAATACGGAAAAACTTACCACATCTGCACGGTATAAGTACCCGAAAGCCGAATTAGCAACAGTAGATTTTTCTTGCTCGTTTTACAGGTTTCAGATCTGGTACACTTTTCTAAGTCAGTCGCACAGAATGTGAATAACCCGCTTGTAGCAATATTTAATTTAGACCAAGTGCCGAATTGTAAGCACATCCTGTTTCGGGGCAAGGCTGTTTGACTCCCGACCTTGCAAAAACGAAACTAGGGCGTCTGATAAATTTCACGGTGAGGTATTTAAAGAAAGTCTACTTGTGTTGGTTTCTGCTTTGCTTCGGTAGATTAGCCAGGACAACATATTCCGTAAGCCATTTGTAAAAATGTTAATTCGCTATCAGAAAAACTGGACCAATTTCTGTACTTCCATTTAATGTCAGTGAAAGGAATAATTTTTAATAAATAAATATATATCTCGTATTTTATTATTCTGAAGTGAAATCAGTGTATCTCTAAAATAAAACATATCTTTATCGCGCACGTTAATGGACCTCAACATTATTATCGTTGGATTTGAGGTTTTCACGGAGATGTGGACGTTTCGGAGGAACATGCCTTCATACTGAGGGTACAAGAATAGCTGACAAGGAGGTGGCAGGAACCAGCCCTGTCAGCTCAGCCGGTAACAACGCTTATAACTGCGCATTCAGAAGTTGCTCAGTTCGAATCTCGGCAGGAACGCCTACAATCCTGCCTATTTTTCACCGTTTTACTCAGTCCCACCAATAAAATGCCAGTGTAGTGCATCAAATTAGGCCACCATCGGTTCCTTTCAGATACTTTTAGTCCATTATTCATTAATCATAAGCAGTTGGCGGTATGCAGGCTGAGCTACTAACAGCATCGTTAAATAAATCATAAGTAAATATTGTCAGGTGTCTGACTATTGACGGGGGTTGGATTGGTAATTTGGTTTATTGAGTACTTATACACACAACTCATAACTACAAGTAGCCATAACAATTTCACTGGTTCACACACTAAAGATCACTGTAACTGCAGCACACATAAAGTCTTCTGTGTCTTCATTAGTCGTTTCCTTGTAACGGATCCTAACAATGTCTTCTGCTTACGTCCTTAATGGCTGGAAGATATCCCACAACTGACTAAACTCAAAGCTAAAGTCACACTGTGACTGACGGTCAGTCAGCCAGTCAGTCAGTCTTGGTGTCGAGCCCAATCTGGGGCCTATGACCAGATATTTATTATTGTTTGACAGTTTTGGTCTTGTTATTGTGGGGCGTCCTCTCTGACGAGAGGACGGGTTTGTTTTTTGTCAGAGTCATTGTCTGCAGTAGTAACTGACTAAATTCTGAGCTTGTCCCGTTTATAAAGTATTAGCGCGGATTTCATAGAAAACACCGCTCATTATTATAGTTCAATCGTTGCCATTGTAACATGCTTGTTTCCCAAGCCGTTACTCAGCAACGGCTATCGTATATTTGCTTATTCCACGTTCGTTGCCTAGTAGGGGGCTTTGTTTATAGAGTCGTTACTTAGCAACGGGTCTGCATGTTACATTGTAATTATCCCGCAGCAGTTCCACATCAGTAATAAAAGTCAAGGCCAGTGAAATTCGTAGAACAGCGAAGAATGAATTTTTAAATATATACAAATTACTGCAATTGGAGTAAGTCTTTCAGTTGTTAATGTTACAGAAAATAATGTTGAAATTATTACAACTAAAACGGATGAAATTTCAGTGATTCGAAGGAAAAGTTTACCCCTAATGTTTTGTCCACCGCACATTTCACATTGAGCAACCAGATCTGCAACGCAAGGGGCAGTAAGCGCAAGAAGACCAGCAAAGCGGCCATTGTGGTTAGAGAAGCGCCACAATGTTGCCAGTTTGTAATTTGTTAGGAAGCGAAACGTGAGAAGCAAGTCTGTACAACGTTCTTACACAGAGTCAAGGAAATGAGGACATAGCATCATTATCTCTGTGTGGAGAGGCGAAAGGGTTCCACTCTAAGTGGCATTACTCTCTTTCACTCAGTGGCATCAATAGACACGCCCGTTCAAAATCGGTAATTTCGAACTGGTATTTCTGGCCAGTGCCTATTGATTGACAGGACTGGTATCATAATCCCATATCTATCTTCCTGGGGGTAAAGGGCGGCCGACGCGTAAGGCTGATAACCTCACCGCCATGTGTGAGCAGATTGTCTGGAAAATGTGGGAGCCTCGACGTCTAAGAACCCTGTGTACTTCCACGGCCTGTTACAGGGATAGCTTTAAATAAATAAAATTATAAACTCCGTGTCCTCTAGTCCGGAAGAGAACTATACCGACCGAGCGACCGCCGCTTGTCTGCGAAGCTAGTGCCAACTTTTGTGGATAGAGGGTGTCACGTGGTCAGCGCAATGAATCCCCACGGTCGTTAATCTCGATTTTCTAGACCGGAGTCTCTATTTCCTTGAAATAGCTCCTCAATTATCCTCACGAGTCTGAGTTGACCCCGTTCCAGACCCACTACTTCTCAGAAAATCTGGTAGAACCGGGAATCGAGCCCGGAACCTCTGGATCTGTAGCCAGGACTCTGACCGCTAGACCACAGGCATATCGTTGCCTTCTTTAACTCGAATTATAACCCGTTGTTTTTAAGCTTTTATTTCCCAGTTTCCTCTCTTTTGTTTAGGCGTTTGTCACCCATAATTATGTCTTCTTCGTTTGACGGGCTAGGCCGTGTAGCTTGTTCCCTTCAGAATTAATCTGAAATTATGAATCTTACACAGTTGGTAGAACTCCTGAGACGGGGAATCAGCACGTAGCAAGGCAACTACATACACTGTACAACACAAATAGAGAAATAACATAGTCACAAATTTATACCTTGAGTGGGATTCGAACCAATGATCCCAATGTTTGAGCGGACGAAGATATTTCGTTCCCTAGACCGCGCGGCCACTGTGATGGGCATAAAGATACAGAATTTCTGTTTTTTTTTTTTTAAGTTTTCCATCGTCCGGTATATTAGAGAATAGAAAAAACGACGTTTCGGAAACTGGATCTGTCTGCGTTCTCAGATGAAGGGGAGAATACACCTACTCAGCTAGGCCCCTTAGGAATCACTGGACAGCCCCTATCAAATTTACACAGCTATTTAATCACTTGAGACCAGGTTAATTCGGCAGGAAACAGATCCAGTGTCCGAAACGTTGTGTTTTATATTCTCTAGAATACCGAACGACGGAAAAAGTCTAAAAATCCAGTAATTCTATGTTGTACACCATCGTCAGAACACGTTAGAATAAATAAATGAAGTAGTGACCTTCCATCCGAAGTGGCCTGTTATAGTCTTAATATAACAATGTTTTTACTGGACGGGTTAACGTGGCGGTGAATCATATTCGGAAAGTGTTCGGTTCGGGTCTCGGCCGGTACATCGGGTATGATGACTGTCCCGCCAGGCAGATGTCGAAATAGTAGCTAGATTGACTCACGACCGCTTCCTTGCAAGCAATTTCAAATTCATCCTTCGTCTGCCATCCTACCATTCAAAGCCACACGGTGTTGACACCGAGGGCACTGTAAGAAAAACCACAATACAGCGTACTGAAATTGTAGCACGTATGCTTCTGATTCCATCTTCACTTAGTGTGTCGTAACACGAAATTAATTACGTTTGCCTTACAGCATGTACGCTTAACAACGAAATGATGTCTTCAAACCAGCAATGGATCCCTTGGGATATTCTTAAAAAAGTACATCTCTCCCTGTAACAGGCCGTGGAGGCACATATGGTTGTGAGACGTCGAGGCTCCCACATCTTCTAGAAAATCGGCTCAAAGATGTTGAGGTTGTCAGCCTTACGCGCCGACCGCCCTTTACTCCCAGGAAGATTCCTGGTACTCATTTCTGTTAGAGGCTGAGTCGAGCCCATGGACATAGTGGGGCTGGAAGTATTAGGTCAATTGAAAATTCCAATGACCACATTGGGTATCGAACCAGCGACTTTCCCGCTTGAAGCATAGTGCCTCAGCCAACTACGCTACCGCATATAAGTTTTAAAAGGTAATGAAAATTGTAAAACTATCCCTGTAACAGGCCGTGGAAGCACATAGGGTTGTGAGACCTCGAAGCTCCCACATCTTCTAGAAAATCGGCTCAGAGATGTTGAGGTTGTGAGCCTTACGCGCCGGCCCTCTTTATCCCCCCCCCCGGAAGATTCTTGGTGCTCATTTATGTTAGAGGCTGAGTCGACCCCAGGGCTATAGTTTTGCTGTAAGGATTAGGTAAATTGAAGAATCCAATGATCTCATCATGTATCGAACCCGCGACCTTCCGGCTTGTAGCATAGTGCCTCAACCAACTACGCTACCGCATATAATGTTTTAGTCATAATAAATGCGAATAGTAGATGCATGTAGCACGCGTATCCATCATAATCTCGGTTTATGAAGAAAACTAGGCCCTATCTTCTAAGATGTGACAGCATGTAGTCCGGTAGAAGTTCACCGACATTTCGCCGTCTTCATGGTTGAGTAAACCAAGCAAGTTCCAAAAAGGAACGAAAACTTGAACCGGACCACACAGTTTTACATCGCAGAAGGCAGTACTGTTCATAGTCATAGCTGTGAAGATTTCAGATGCAACATCTCGTTATATATTTATTTATATTGCAGTATTTCCCCCTGCATTATGCATGAGAAAGTAAATGCTGATACAGGATCATATAAATGTCGTCTGTAGCCGGACCGAAGTTGCCCGCGGCGCCGCAGTTGCTCCACTTCTGTGCTGTGGCAAGCGACCATCCCTGTACATCACACACAACTCCGACCCAAAAGTTTGCAGGTTTATAATGAAGTAATACCATTCATTTCTTCGCTGTTTCTGCTAAAAGAAAGTTACTCATGTCCGTTTATGTGTGTGTGTTCGGGTGTTTGAACCAATGGAGTCAGTTGTATGAAAGTCGGCATGAATGGGATGTCAATACGGTAGTTGCAGTAGCCAGATCCTCTGAGAAGATCGTGTCATTGAAAACGGGAAATTATTCTGAACTTTCAAACTCTGCAAAAGTTTAACTATTACTGTCTTCTTAGATGTGTCCCCATATAGTCTGATAGGTGTTTACGGACATTTCGGAGACACCTCCGTATCCATTCTCCGCCGTCCTATCGTGAAGATGAAGATAGTAATTTTATCCGATGGCTACACAGTGTGACGTTCCAGAGGACAGTATTCCTCGAAGTAATCATCGTCAGAAACTCAGGTCTCTCATTGGTAAAAGTCTGCGGTCTTCTGTAATGTGACGCAGCAGAATATGATAGATTGTTACCATTTACCAAACAACACGGCGTCATATTCCAGAAGAAAACTTTCTGTTCTGACATATCTGGAAGTGACATACCAGTCTAAGGAGGTTATAAAAATACGTTATACTCGTATGCTGAGTGCCCGCTCAAGCGGTTAGTCGCTGGCTTCCCACCGCGGCGGCCCGGGTTCGATCCCGCGTCTGGTCAAATGGGATTTGTGGTGGACAAAGTGGCGCTGGGGCAGGTTTTCTCCGAGTACTTCGGTTTCCCCTGCCAATCTTCATTGCACCATTAAAAAAGAACATAATAAACCCGTGAAGAAATTTGAAATATAATTTATGAGACTGACAGAGAAGTATATTTGGTGGTATCGTAAAAGAAATGAAGGTAAAGGTAAAGTTGTCCCTGTGCTTATCTAATTAAGCACTACGCCATGAAGACGTATGGATGTGTGGGAACTGCTTCATTGCCTAGCAACCGCTGTTTACTCGTCGTTGCTAAACAATGAAGCTCGCGTTGTCACGCTTGCTTGAATGTGGGCAGTTCCCACACATGTATAGACCCACGTTTTCTTGATCTCGGCTCTAGTTGGAGGTGAGTGGTTAGCTTCAAGCACCAGCCGCTTTACCCCCGGTACCCATTGGATAGGAGACTGGGTGGGCCCCATAACCGGTCTGGACGACGTGAAGTGAGAATTCTTGCCTCCAAAGGGACTCGAACTCTGACCCCCAGTCCGTAGCCAGTCACTATACCGACTGAGCTATCCCGACTGTTAAAGAAATGAATACACGTTAAAATAATTAAAACATCATCCATGTTGGACAATATTTCGAAGTACAACACCAATTAAATTCAGCTTGTCGGCAGAATTTCAAAGAAGCAGACTTCCGAAACTACTAAAAAAACTACAAATCGCGTGGATGAAGGAACAGATACACATTTGAAGAGACGAGTGGATGGATGAGGTCGGAACAGGCCAACACGTGGCCAAACTACCATACTGCGATTTCATGATGTCATGATACGATGTAGTGTGTTGATGTATGATGATGTCTCTTGGAAATCTTCCACTTGGAAATCCTAGAACGAGATGGAAGTGCGACTTGAAGAACAAATATCAGAGTGTGAGACCGTGATGATCGGAGACGTGAGGGAATTTGGCCAAGATCGAGTTCAATGACAGGTTTTGTTTTCAGCAATGTCGAACTTTCGGGTCCTGATACCGTGCAATTAACTAAATATGTATTACATTGGCCTGTGGGACTTTTCGTAACGTGCTAGGTTTTACAATAGAGTTTCCTGTCTTACACCAAAAACTGAAGCGGGAGTACCACCCCTTCTCAGCTCTCAGCGATAGCTTCTTCTGATGGAGGTAATCTCCTCCATGAGCAGCCCGAGTGTGTATCAGTCCATTTAAAAGTTATCAATTTAATACTTACCAAAATATATTTTGTGACGCTCATTTTTCCTGTCATTTTAAAAAATGCACTTTTTTCACAAATTATCCTCTTATTAATCCATTATTTGATCTCTATCGTTGCTAAGGTTATTTATCCTAAGCACAACAATACCACATGCTCACTGTTTGCACGAGTTTCAGTATCCACTCTGTTAACTAACATCGTAAAATTCTTCTTCCGTACGAAACCACATTCTTCCTTTCTATTAAAAAAATCACACCCACTTATTTCGCACAATATCTAACCATGCTTCCGCTTGAATCTGGAAGGTACTGAGACCTTGAACTTCGAGTTACGTATCCACACCTTGACCGAGATTAAGAAAATGAAATCAGTGTTGCCAAACTATGAAGTTAAGTTACCTGTTATAATGACATTACTATATCATGGTTAAAAGACTGTGAATGTAGGTTGCTCTGGCAACACTGTTTACGGAAGCCGCCACTAGGTGGCTCTGCTAAGAACACTTGTCAGTTGTTTTGTAACGGTAAAAAGTTTTCCGAATGGAGGTCAGGCAATTGGTGAGCGCCCCTGCTGCGGAAGTAAGGAGTAAAATCTTATATTAATTTATCATAAATGTAGGAGGGAACCGTGACATATCTGTGTAATATCTTAAAAGTTACTCACATTTTCTGGAAACATGGATTTCTGGCCTTATGGTGTTCTACTTTTCCTGTCTATTATATTTATTTCTCTACTTTTTTTTCTTCTTTCGTTTCCAGTTAAATGAATACAGACAACGGTGTCATTTGTTTCACTTCAGCTTTAGTTCTATCAAGAGAACACCCCCCCCCACCCACCCACATCACTTGAAACAGAGAATAGACAGGATGAAATGTATGGAATGCCTTGGCTTGTTACATGCACTTACAATGTCGTAAAAGACACAGGTAATAACACCATGAAGGAATGTGGGAGAATGGAGGTATGGCTCCACCGTTTTTACTTCTGCACTAAATGGAAGTGGTCAGCTTCACTCTCCGGCCATTTACCCCCGTGGAAAGATCCCCCGGTACTCATTGAACAGGAGGAATGGTGAGCCCCAGAGGCGTTCTGGACGCTGTGGAGTATAGAATAATCTTTTCCCGCTGTCGGGAATCGAATCCGGGCCATACAGTCGATAGCCAGTTACTGTACAGACAGATCTCCCGGCCCCTCTCATATTGTACGGAACCGAAAATCCTGTCACTGTAACTCTGTGGCCCAGAGTCCCTTCTTGAGAAGCTGATTCTGTGCAGTCATAAATTTCGAGCCAGCTGCTGGACCCTATTCCAAGCCACTTTAATCCAACCGATACTTATATAGTTTATTTGATATCTATAAGAGCCGGAATAGCGCAGTCAGTATAGCGACTGGCTACGGGCTGGACGGCCGAGGGGCCGGAGTTCGAGTCCCGGTAGGGTAAAAAGTTTTCACTTCTCAGTTTCGTTCAGACTGGCTCTGGGGTCCAGGCAACCTCCTATCCAATGAGCGGGGCGGGGGTAAGGCGACTGGGACGTGAAGCTGACCACACCTCCAACTAGTGCCGAGGTCAAGAAAACGTGGATCTATACATCCACTCCCCCATACGTCTTCATGGTGTAGTGCTTAATTAAATAAGTACAAGGAAAACTTTACCTTGCCTTGATATCTATAATATGTATATGTGTACATCTGTCTCCGAAAATGATGTGTTTCCTTCTGATTATCTTACTACAGTTGTATTTGCATTTCTATATGAGTTTCCTTGAAGGAGTAAGGATTGTGAAGGACCTCATTGTGTAATTTTCTCCATAATTTTAATTAACTTCTTTCTATCAGGTGCAAATTTTCTCCTCAGCACCCTGTTCTCAAACAATACCAGAGTATGTCCTTCCCAAATAGTAAGGTAGATCTATCCCTGTAACAGGCCGTGGAGCCCCACAGGGCTTCGAGACGTCGAGGCTCCCACGTTTTCTAGACAATCGGCTCATAGATGGCGGCAAGGTTGTCAGCCCTACGCGCCGGCCGCCTTTTACACCCCAGCAAGATTCCTGGTACCCATTTCTGTTAGAGGCTTAGTCGACCCAAGGGCCATAGTGCGGCTGGAAGGATTAGGCCAACTGGACAATTCATTGGCCTCATCTGTAATCGAACCCGCTTCGTTCGGGCTTGTACCATAGTGTCTCAGCTAACTACGCTACCGCGTGCTCCCCTTCCCAAAGAGTAAAGGCAGAATTTCGAACCCATATAAAACTCTCAATTGTTACAACACAATCTGATACGTTTCCAATGCTTGTATATTTAGTTTCAGACAATAAAATTGGCGAGTTATAGTTCTGTCTTTCGGAATGTAACCACTAGTTATAACATTGTGCCTATCGTTAACAACTATTCACGTTGCGATATGTCACTCTACGAAATATTTCGAGGAAAGTGACTATTCGCAGGAGGGGCGACTGTCCGTGTACAGCACTGAACTAGATGTGTGTTGCAGGAGATCTACATAATCTTTTAGTTCCCCTTGCAGTCCAACTTGCTACGTAGGTCTCTGTGGCTGACATCCACCTTTGTTCAGACACCGCTGTTTTATATATAATTATGGCATAATTCCAACGTTTTTATGTGTCATTCATATTCGTTTAAATGTTCCCGCCTTTATGTTACACGTAAAATTGTACAGATGTGGGATCAGTGCCATATGGCAGCAGAGATAACGCACTGCCACGGAGTAAGTTAACCTGGTACCTGACGTGCTGTTTTATTGTTGTATTATACAGGGTGCTTTTCTCTTCTCCAAATCGTCCAGACCAGCTCTGGGGTCCACCCAACCTCCTATCCACTGGGTACCCGGGGCTTTTTCCCTTTGGGTAAAGCGTCAGGGACGTGAAGCTGACCACTCACCTCCAGTTAGTGCCGAGGTCAAGAAACTATGGATCTATACATCCGGTCGGGCACGTGGTAGCGTAGTTGGTTGAGGCAGTATGCTACAAGCCGGAAGATCGCGGGTTCAAGTCCCGATGAGGTCATTGAATTTTTTTTTTTCAATTGACGTAATCCTTCCAGCCTCACTATAGCCTTGGGGTCGACTCAGCCTCTTAACAGAAATGAGTACCAGGAATGAATTAAATAAATTCCCTGGGGAGTAAAGCGCGGCCGGCGCGTAAGGCTGACAACCTTACCGCCATCTTTGAGCCGATTGTCTAGATAATGTGGTACCCTCAACGCCTCACAACCCTATTGGCCTTCACGGCCTGCTACAGGGATAGCTTTACTTTACTTTTTACATCCGGTCCCCGTACAGGGACAACTTTACCATTATACAGAGTGTAACTCGAAGGTTCAGACAAATTTTGAGCATGAGTTATACATACCAAAATGAGAAAAAGTATCCATACCAACACGTGACCTAAAACATTCACGTAAGTTGAGATTTGTGTAGAGACCAACAGTAGTTCAGCATTAATGTGATGGCAGGGACTGTTTCTTTTTCCACAGCGGCTTACAGGCAACCACTAACGCGATTTCTTCTTACATGATGTGCCAAAGCTATTGGAAGGTGTGCCACGAATGTGATACCTGCAGGATAGTACTTCGGCACATTCTGGCCGTGCTGTGCGAGATGTTCTCAGTAACACCTGTCATGACCGATGAATAGGAAGAGGAGGACCCACTGCATGGTATCCGCGCCCGCCAGATTTTTACTTCCGGTGCCTGCAGCTCCTGTTGACAACGAAGAGGCACTTCATCCTCGCAGTGTAGATGCCTGTCAGACAGCCCGCAACTGCCCCGGCAGCTTTGCATAGATGTGGCGGGCCGTGTTGAGACGCGTCGATGCGTGCATTGAATCTCATGGGGGACATTTTGAGCACTGATTATGAATGTACTCTTTTAGCTATAACTAACAAGTTAAATGTTTCCTGACACACGTTATTATGGACAGTTTTTCTTGTGTTGGTATCTGTGGTCTAGTGGTCAGAATTCCTGGCTACAGATCTAGAGGTCCGGGTTGGATTCAGATTATCATGGAACTAGTGGGTCTGGAACAGGGTCCACTCAGCCTTGTGAGGATAATTGAGGAGCTGTTTCAAAGAAATAGCGGCTCCGGTTTAGAAACTCGAGATTAACGGCCGTGGGGATCCGTTGCGCTGACCACGCGACACCCTCTATCCGCTAAAGTTGGCACTAACTTCGCCGACAAGCGGCGGTCGCTCGGTCGGTATAGTTCGTTTGCGAACTACAGGCCACGGAGTTTGTTTTGTGTTGTTTGTTGGTATGAGGAACTCGTGCCCAGAATTTGTCCCCACTTTTCAGTTACACCCTGTAGGTATGAACTCCATTGGATATAGGATGCAGTGACAAATCTGAGGTTAGGGAGCGGTTTCACAACGGTAAATACAAACCACAGACAAAGTTTAGACCACGTACTAGCCAAATCGTTCGTTCGAAAAAGAAAACCTTTAGAAAATCTGCAAATTTTCATAGAACCCTAGAAAGAAAGATTGAATTCTGTATTTCAGTTGACGGTATTCTGCAAACTGCCCTCGCCACTGAAACACTGACACCCACCGAGAGGTCATCTGGCACCGGTGGTTAGAAGGTTTGCCAATATTAGAATCTGGAGCCTCTTCATGGTTAAATATTTCACCAACCCAATCTGCTGGTACATTGTACAAAGAACTGCAGATATAAATGTGTCCCACCTTTTATGTCTGGAACAGTTTTCGGCCTGATATATTTCAAGAAGAGTATTTCGTCCTTCATACAAAGTTAGTGTCCTGTATCGACATTAAATCTGGTTGATATACTTTCAGTAAAAATACTTATTATTAAATTACATTCAAAATCCGTTCAAGCATCCAGATAGGTTGCTCATGGGACTACTAACTTTTTCACATCATCATCATCATCAGTAATCTGTCAAGACGACAGGTCCACAGTCTCTTTCAAAACAATTCCTCCACTTAATGCGATCTAGAGCTTTCTCCTTCAAAAGACAGTATCCTCTTCTGTCCCCAAGGTCATCCAGCATCTTCTTACGTCTTCTTCCTCGTCTTCTTGTCACTTCTATCCGCCCATCTATCTTTCCTTCAATAGCTTCTTTTAGAAGGCAGTTTCTGCGTAAAACATGACCAATCCAATTAGCCTTCTGTTTTCTTATTTCATGTAGGATATTCCTCTGCTCACTGACTCTAATTAACACTTCTTCATTTCTCACATAATCGGTCCAACTGATCTTCTCCATTCTTCTCCAACACCACATTTCGAAACTTTCCAGATGTTTCTGATTTTTTTCACATAAGATTTAAAAAATTACAGCATTTACCACGGGGCACGCGGTAGCGTAGTTGGTTGAG